CAAAAGGGAAAGAAAGCAAAAAAGAAGGAAGGGAAGAAAGAGAAAGAAGAGAGGAGAAGAGTAAGCGGAAGGATGGAGAGAGAGAGGAGAGAGAGGAGAGAGAGAGAGAGAGAGAGAGAGGGGGGAGAGGGGGAGAGAGAAAAGAGAGAGAGAGTGAAACGGTTCAATGAAGGAAAGGTCCGAATACCAGAAGAAAGAAACTGAAGAGCAGTTAATCAGAGGTAAGGTCAGTGAAAAAACAGGCTAAAATAGAGAAAAAAGGGGTAAGACAATAAAAAAAAAAAAAAAGAGGAGAGGAATGAGGTAGAGACGTGTTAAGGGGTACTCATGGTGACGTCCTCAGCTCAGAGGGCGCTGATCTTCTCTGCTCACTTCATACATTTCTCGTCTCTCCTGCAAAGTAAAATAAAACACAGTCAGCACCTGCAGTAGTGACACTCATTTAATTGCAACATAGCAAAATTCTCGCGTAATATGATGAAAACTCAGCAATATTCAATCAAAAACATTCTTCAATTCTCTGACTGCTGCCTTGTTTCCTTGTGTTTATGTTACATGAAGCACCATGACTGACTGTATTGCAACAATGGCATTTGCTCTGCCTGTTTGGCAAAACGATCACTGTTGGGCACAACTATTGTTGTTTGGCAAAATCATCATTATTTGGTAGCAGTAATGGTACACAATACCGACAAGTTGATGACTGGTGCATGTGCAACACTTCGGTATCTTTCGTCTCAAGACGTTTAGCCAACCAGCGGTTTTATCAATTCAATACAAAGGTTAATCGAAGGTGTTTAAACTAGAGACAGAAGAAGATGAGGTAATCAGTCCCCCAGCCTAGATGAACCTGTTTATCACCGTAATCGTCATGACTCGTTAAACAAATCTCTACCTTTTTTTCTCTTCCCTTTCTCCTTATTATTTTTCTTATTTTTCATAATAATAATAATAATAATAATAATAATAATCACAATCACGAGGAAACGCGAAATCCATTAATGTAGTCTTTTGTCCCTGGATAAAAAGTTCTTCACTATCATCAGTATCCCGTCTCTCTCTCTCTCTCTCTCTCTCTCTCTCTCTCTCTCTCTCTCTCTCTCTCTCTCTCTCACACACACACACAAACACACATTTTAGCGCTCTCGTGTAAACCAGCGTTATAACAACACCATTCTCTTCCTCTCTTCCGTTGTTTACTTTTCCCTCTTACCGTGTGTGTGTACTTTCCGTCTTTTTTTCTCTTGGTTCATTGTATCACTTCCTTCCCGAGGCACCTTTATCAGATCTGCCTCCATTCTCCTTCATTTTCCGTCTTCTCTATTCTTCATTGTCCACATGATGGCGGTGTCTGGTGTGTAATGTTTCCTGCTCAGATGGTTCATTGTCTGGCCTCTCTTACCCGGCCACAGCCTCGCCCTTGTAACAAATAATACTCTTAATTCTGCGTGAAAAAATTTATGCGTGAAAAGCAAAAAAAAAAAACTTGTAAACGTTGTCATTTCTATAAAGTTTTGCATGATGCATTAAAGTTTCTTACTTCGTTGCAGTTACTGGGGAATTACATAGTATTTAAAGGTACACTAACCGATGTCCGCTGCCTCCCGAGGAATTTGTAAACAAACATCACCCTCCTCTTCCTTGTCCCGTGGCGTTCAATTCTCTCGTAAAAAAAAATCTTAAGTCCATCCTGTGTCCTCTTTAGATTTACTATACAGAAGTTTTAACGTTTCCCTTTGGTGTTATTCCTTTTTTTTTTTTTTTTGGTTTCTTTTGAGTGATTTTTTTAAGACTTTTTTTTTTCAGTCTTCTTGAAGGTCGGTCTGACATTCCCCATTTCAGTGATTACCAACCTTTTTTTTTTTTTACCCTCCCTCTTGGCATTTTTAGAAGGTATTTCTTTCGTCTACTTCATTGCCTGATTTTTTTTTTTGTTTGAAAATGTGAAGTGGAGAGAGGACGCAAGTATGTTACAGTAAAAGGAAATATAACGAACTCTGAAAACCAGATAGTTAGTGAATATTTGTGTGTGTGTGTGTTTTGATTCAATTACAGTTAGGATAAGTTAGTCCAGTGAGGCCTAAGACTGCCTGGAAGAACTCTGAGGTGTGTATGGTGTGGCTTAAAAACCCATAAACTCCAAGCTTTTGGGTTTCGTTTATTAAACAAAAATGTTGGCGAGATGACTTATGGGCTTGTCCACATTTCAGGTTCTTTTCAAACATTTCTTGTGATGCGACTAGTACACATAAGGAAATAGTACATAATGGGGAAAACAGCATAAGACCAAGAGGCCAGAAGTCTTAATGTGGAACCAGAGCTGAACTCGCGTACATAAGCCCCAAAACGTCTTCATAAGCGTCTTCTCTTTGTGGGGTTTATCTGTTAGTACCACAAACACACGCACATCTCTCTTCTCCTCTCTCTCTTTCACACACACGGTCATAACGGTGGGAAGAACACTTGTGAGTGGTATAGGTATTTATGAATGGAGTCTGATGAATGGAGGGGCAGCCACCCTCCCTCCTTTCTCAGCCACGGTGCCTAAATCAATTACTCCTCCTCCTGGCCAATGAAAAAAAGACGGAAGGAAGGCGAAATAAGAAACCAAACAAGATAATGGGAAGAAGCTGGGCTGAATGACACATGCAAAACAGTATTGTACGTGGTACAACGTCTTACTGGTGCTCCTATTCTCCTCCCAGCTTTTCTCTTCTCTTCCCCTCCTCTACTCCCCTACTTCTTCTTACCTCACAATAACACCATTTTCTCCTCCTTACCATTCTTCCCTCCCTCCATTCCCGCACCCACTGTTCCCACCAGTCATCTTGCCAGTAAAAAACATTATCATCACAAAATAAACAGCTTGAGGCACATTAATGTAAAAATTGGGGGAAAAAAAAATTCGATTAATTTAGCCACACAAAATGCATTTTGAATGGTTATTTTTTTATTTCCATTTAAGAATTCACCCACTTAAAAACTTATTCATAATATAAAAGATTTCGTGAATAGGATATGTCAAAAAGCATTTGAAAATATCCATAGCAGAAGTAGAAGAAAAAGTATTTGAGAACAACGTCAGAAGATAAGGTGACAGTAACGAAGTAAATGATAGTTCCGTCCTGTGTCCCGTGGCCTGGTAGGCCACGGGACACAGGACACTGAGTGTCCGTGGTTCAATCCCCGGCCGGGTGGAAACATTGGGTGTGTTTCCTTACACTTGCTGTCTCTGTTTACTTAACAAGTAGGTACCTGGATGTTAGTCGACTGGTGTGGGTGGCATCCTGGTGGACAAGACTGAAGGACAGCAATGGAAACAAGACAGTCCTCGATGATGCACCGACTTTCTTAGGTTATCCTGGTAGATTAACCCTCCGGGGGTAAGAAAAATACCAACAAAATTTTATCTTATTTCTCTTATGTTGCTAGTGTGTGGAAACTGGAGATACATATGTGGTCCCAGCAGAAGCATCATATATACATGTAATCCCTGCACCAGCAGCAGCAGAGATACACATGTGATCTCAGCAGCAGCAGCAGCAGCAGCAGCAGCAGCAGCAGCAGCAGCTCTTTAGTGGTAGAGAGCACCAACTGCTCTACCAGAGTCACTACAACAGCCAGGGGTCACCTTGAGTCAAGATCACCACGACTAATTTAACCTGTGAAACACTTTATAAGAAGTTCTTGGTGACCCACTGAAAGTGTGACCCACGTCAAGTATTCTAAATAACTCACTGTGTTCTTAAGACCCACGTCAGGTGTTCTAAATGACCCACTGTGTTCTTAGGACCCACGTCAGGTGTTCTAAATAACTCACTGTATTCTTAAGACCCACGTCAGGTGTTCTAAATGACCCACTGTGTTCTTAAAACCCACGTCAGGTGTTCTAAATGACCCAGTGTGTTCTTAAGACCCATGTCAGGCGTTCTAAATAACCCACTGTGTCAAAAATGATGACGAC